CCGTGCTCAGCTCTGGAACATGATGATGCGTTAGACAACTCCTGGTCTCAAGCTAACATCTATAGTTAGGCTAGGCAATCACAGGCAATCACTAGCAAACATGCTGGGGGTGGGGGTGGGGGCCATCCTGCTTTGATAATAATGAGAAGAGAAAGCAAACCAAAAAAATCCAGGGATTTATAATTCATAGGAAATTCAAAATGCAAATCTAGTGTGTTGTGGCCGCTGAAAAAGTTCTTCCAATTTTAGGCTTCGCTAGAAGAAATATATATCTATATATTATATAATATATATATACATAATATTCTCTATGGATCAAAGGAGTTGACAGTCCCATTGTAATTGGACATGCCCAGACTACTGTGTATCCTCAGGACACTATACTGGAAGAGAAGATGGACTAATTAGAGTGTGTCCACAGTGGTTGATGGTGGCTGAAACCCTGCCACACACAATGATGCAAGGACTCGCGACGTTTAGTCTGGGAAAGCAAAGACTTTGATGGGAGACATAATAGCTGTTTTTAGAGATCTATAACAAAGGGCCTGGGGCATGGCCCTGGGCTGGTCAGGACCGGCCTGAGTGAACAGGGAGATCCTGCTAAAGATCCTTCATTGGGCACAAGGAGGAACGTTCTAGATCCAGCTACAGGGCAAAGGAATCAGAATTCTCTTTCTTCAGGACTCGTGTGTGCATGTGTATCTGTGTGTGTGTGTGTGTCTGTGTGTGTGTGATTGTCCTGGGGCTTGAGCGCAGTCCCTTCTGCTCTTACTTGGCTTTTTTGTCCAAGGCTGGTGCTCTCCCATTTGAGCCATATCTCCACTTTCAGGGTTTTTTGCTGGTTAATTGAAGATGAGAGTCTCACAAACTTTCCTTCTCTGGGTTGGCCACGAACCTGGATCCTCAGATCTCAGCCTCAGTTAGGATGACAAGCGGGAGCCACTGGTGTCCGGTAGCACTGCTCTTCTGTATCTCCTTTTGTGCTGCTCCCTCTCAGGGCTGGTGCTGATTTGAGGGTTCCTTTTCCGTCCTCACACCTCTCTCGTCCTGCTTGGGGTTCTGCAGAGTGAAGCCCCACAGCAGTGGCGTGGGAGAACAGACCGTCTTGGCCGCCGTCACCGTGCGCAGCCCTGCGGAGAGCAGACACTGAATCTTGGTGCACCGGACGAAGGCACAAAAAAACATGGGTAAGGTGCTTGAGGTCACCTTGATGTGAAGCTGGCAGTCAGGATTTCACCCAGAATTTCTGCTTTTAAATACCCTCTCCTCCTCATCTCTCTGGCACGCTTACCTCTCCTCCACTAAAATAAGCATTCATAGACAAAACAAAGTGCCAGATTGGGCAGATATAAGCGAATGGAGTAGGGTTTGGGGACCCCTCACCCCACCCCGGGCGTTTGGGGCAGAAGTGAGCGTGTGGCTTGTTGAATATGTTAAGGACAACTGTGCTCAACGGTTCCCCCCGGGAGCCTGCACCTCCTGTCACCTGAACTGTGCAGTGTCTTCGTAAAAAGACATGGCAGGGTCCACGGGTGATGGGACAAACCCTCCTTCACCCACTAGAGCACCCGCAGCCGCTTCTCCTCGTGATGCTCTCCCGTCACTCCAGTGGCATCTGGCCATTCCAGTTTAATCACGCCCTTACTGCTTTCCATAGCACAAAGCCTTTCACAATGAAGGAAACAACTGAAAAGCATTTTCCCCTTAATAGGTCCTGTGATTCACCAAACCACAGCCCAATAAAGCCACAATTAAAGTCAATGTGGAATAAATCTCTCAATGAATAGAGCTTTGCTTTCTCTTACCACAAGCCGGCCCAGCCCTTGGATGTATGTTGGGCCCTCTTGTCCGCAGACCTCTGCGCTCTTGTCGGCTTGGCCAGCCTCGATTGCATGTCCACCACTACCCAGTGGGAGGTCTTGGCTAAGTCTTGGCTAACGGGAGGAGAGGGAACATGCGCAGGAATGTCAGGAAAGAGAAGCCCCGCCCTTCCAGAGGAAGCCCTGGCCGTGCCTGTCAGGGGCTCTGGAGGGAACTAGCAAGCTTGACTTGACTCAGAGGGACTTTTACCTACATTTTTGTCTTCTGGCTTTTGTTCTGTGTAGCTTCACATCGTAAACTTCAACATAATCACAACAATGAAACTTCAGTCTCTGAAACAACACACTTTCCAAAAGAATTTATATTTACCACCTGAAGCTGCATAGCTGTGGTCCTAGGTAAACTGCAGACACGGAGGTAGAAAGCACCCAGCACGCCCGTGACCCCGTGACGCGAACACAGGACTGCTGTGCACAGATGGCATTTGCTTTGATTTTTATTGCTCTGAGCAACTCCATTCCCAGAACCCAGTGGCCGTCTGGCCCCATAAATGTGAGGTGGTTTAAGTGTGTCACCATCTTTCCCCCAGCTATTTCCTATTAGGCCAATCATACACCCCGTTTGTATTGTGTGTATGATCTTTTGCCCCAGATAGTGACATTACTATGTAATAGACTAAAGGGGAGATTATAATTTCAGTAATAATAATCCTGCACCTGGAAAGGAGTGAACTACAGAGAGGAAGAATAGCAGTAGTGTTTATAAACGACATTTTTCAGATATGACAAACAGTAAGTGGCATGTCTGTGTCGTTTGTGGATCAGAGCCTCCACTCAGGACCATGAGGGGTCTCATGTGGCATTCCAAATGCTCCCAGCATCCTACACTATCTGTCTGTCTGTCTGTTAATCTACCTATCTACCTACTTACTTACCTATCTACCTACCTACCTACCTACCTACCTACCTACCTACCTATGGCCAGCACTTGGGCTTGAATCCAGGGCTTGGGCTCTGACCCTTGGCTTTTTCAGTCAAGGCTGGTATTCTACCACTGGAGCCACAGCTCCACTTGCATTGGAAGTAAAAGTCTCACAGACATGTCTCCCTGTGATCCTCAGACCTGCTTCCTGAGCAGCTGGGATTACAGGGTGAGCCACCAGTGCCCGGCCCAATGACACATCTCTTGAGGATCCAGGCAGTACCCCTAGAGAGCCTTTCAGTGTCACCCGGCCAGCACCTTTGCCCAAAGGCACTGGTTCTTGAGTGGCCGGCCCCCTGAGCACCAGAGCCCTGGGGCTCACTTGAGTAAAGGTGGGAGTGGGCGTGAGCCCCTCGGCAGGCCTGCGTGGCAGGGCTGGCTCACGGCAGGAGCGCAGGCTAAGGTGCAGCTGGAGGAATGTGAAGCTGGGAGCCGGCTCGGGATCGCTATTACAATCAGAGGACGCACCGGGCCAGAGTTCCGGAGCCCTTTGAAGGGCTGCCAGCACAGACACATGGTTGCAATTACCGCCTGCAGTCTTGGGGCTGTGCACTTTCATTATGTCAAAGTGAAAGGCCTGTGGGGGGGCGGGGGGCGGGGGACGCCAGGCCCCAGACGCGGTTTAGCCATGCCACCAAGGGCGAGCCGAAGTGCCAAGTGACCCCAGCACCGGCTGCTTGGGGGCCGGGATGGCAGGTACCCACGCTCAGAGGCACCTCCCTTCTGGTTGGGGGGCCGGGGACCTAGGGCATGGGAAAAGGGGTGCCTCTCCCGCTGGCCAGGCTGTGCTCCCAGCAGGACGGGGGCACAAGATGCCTCTGAGATGCCCCATGAGTCCCACAGCTCGGGAAGTATCTCCAGGGCTGCTAGAAAGCTTCCCGAACCTCTCCTTCTCCAGGCCTGTGGGCACCCAGGACACAGCAGGGCTCGCAGCTCTGAGAGGAGCCGCACGTGGGAAGGGCCTGGGGCCCTGAGGCCGGCCTTTGAGTCAGGCAGAGCCCACAGACACGAGCGCTAGAGGCCCCCTTGCCCAGGCCTTTATCTGACTAAGATCTCAGCACAGAATGTTCCAGATGGTGCTTCTTGAACACAAACCTGATTCCAGTTGCTTTGATAGAAAAGCCAGGGCACATTCGAGCATGCTTTTACCCTACTTGCACAGTGCTCACGCCAAAGCTCTCCCTGCTGTTCTACTTTGCCTGCTTTGGATTGGGTTGTGGGTGGAGTAGAACAGAAAGAGGGCAGAGGGAAGACATGAGGCCACTCCAGAGTGTGTGTGTGTGTGTGTGTGTGTATGTGCGCACGCACGCACGCGCTCAGGTATTGGGGCTTGAACTCAGGCCTCCCACTCTTACTTGGCTTTTTCCATTCAAGACTGGTGCTCTACCACATGACTCACAGCTCTACTTTTGCTGGCTAACTGGGGATAAGAATCTCACGGACTTTATGCCCTGGCTGGCTTTGAACTGTGATCCTATAATCCGGTTACTCTTTGATGGAGGTCAGAGGCTCATGGTTTGAGGCTGGTGCAGGTAAAGGCTTGACATCCTTATGAAAAATAAAGTCAAACAAAAAGGGCCCTGAGTTCAAACGCCACTGATGGTGGATGTGTGGCAGTTGTGGGGGCCTCATGTTTTCTTGGGGTAATGTAGTCTTTCTACATGAATCCCTGGGCACGGGGGGGGGTGGTAAGTGGAGCAGTGGAGCGCCACGGCAATCTCCACACAGAATGAGATCTCCCCTGGCAGCCTGGGAAGTTCCCAAGGCAGACCTAGCCCTTCCGGTCCTCCCGGGGCAGCCTCTACCACCACACACAGAAGGCCTTGGCCAGCTGGGGCCTGTGCCCAGCACCGACCTGTCTTCTGGTGATGGCACAGCAGCCTCTGCCTTCTCCCCCTGCGAGAGGGTGATGGGGCTGGGAGAGCCAGGCTGCCGCACAGGAAAGCCGGTGGCCAGGTGAATGGGCTCTGGCAGAGGCCGGCGTCCAAGAGGGCTCCGTCAGGGCTGGGACAGGTCTCCCTGCGGCCCGTCCCCAGGGGAAAGACCATGCACATGCCAGCACACGGGCGGGATGCTTCCAAAATTTAATAAATAATGATTTCTTTTAAAACTGTATAAACTATAAATTACCATGCAGTCCTTATAATTTAAAATAATTTACAGGCTGAGGTAGGGGCCGGGGGGTGAGGGTGGGGCGATCAGCCCCGGCGGGCGGCCTTGCGGCTGAGGACGCACACGCAGGCCGTGTCGATGCGGATGAAGCGCCAGGCCGCCTGCTTGGCGTCGGTGGTGAGCGCCTTGACGAAGGTGTGCGTGGTGGTGCAGTATGAGTTCCAGTGTTTGGCGTCGATCCCGCGGCAGCCACCCTCCGCGGGGCTGGGCTCTCGGCATTTGGTCTCAAAAAAGTACTGTTTGAAGACGCTGTTGTTGATGTTCACCTCACTCAGCACCGCCACCTCTTTGCCCTTGATGTCTGTGGCCGTGGTCTTGTCCCCGACCCACACGCTGACGCTGTCACAGACCGAGAACTCCCCCATGTGGAAGACGGGGTGGCTGGGTGAGCGCCTGCTCCTCTGAGTCCTGTTGAAGGCCGAGCCCTCCGGGAGTGGCAGGTCTGGGTCCTGGGGGTCCCCAGACACGGGTGGGGGCTGGGTGCTGAACAGCACCCGGGGCGACCTTAGTCGCCTTTTCTTAAACAACCTGGGGTCCACAGAGATGTTGCGCGTCTCCCCTGACACCCGGGCAGCTATCGGGGCAGCCGGGGCGCCGTGGGCTTTGCGGAGGGCCGTGTCCAAGGAGTGCTGGAGTCTGGTCCAGTGCGCGCGGGGAACGGCGTCTCCTGCTGGCGCATTGCTGGCTGGGGATGGCTCTGCCCGGACGCCGATCAGACACGCAGTGAGCAGAGCGTAGAACAACATGGGCATTACGCTCCGCGCCTAGAACAAAAAGACACCGGCAATGTTGCAGGAGCAGCACTCAGGGCCGGGTGCAGAGGCTCACTCCTGTCATCCTAGCCAATCAGGAAGCTGAGATCTGAGGATCACGGTTCAAAGCTGGCCTAGGCAGAAAAGTCTGTGAGACTCTTATCTCCATGAACCACCAAAAAGTTGGAAGTGGAGGTGTGTGGCTCAAGTGGTAGGGCACCAGCCAGGAATGAACAAGAACAAGACCACTGAGAGTGAACTCAAACCCTAGGACCAGCACACACGCACACACACACACACACACACACACACACACACACACACACACACACACACACACACACACACACACACACACACACACACACACACGTCTTTCAACTCTGAACAAGGCTGGAAGAGGCTGGCAGCATGTCCGTCTTCTTTCCTGCTCTTTCCGTGTCCTGCAAGGCCATTTGCCCTGGCTCTGGAGTGAGTGAACTTTGTTTGGATATCATGTTCAAATCCTGCTGGCAGATGTAAGCCACTTAATCCTGCCGAGTCTTAGTTTCCTCCCCAACAAAGGCTGGAGGATAAACACTGCTGCTGGGGTGGGTGTGTTCCTGAGGTCTGCGTGTGTCTGTCAGCTCAGCACCCCTGGCGAGGTCTCTGCCTTCCTCTGTTCTGGTGGAGGGGGAGGCGAGTGCTCTGCGGCCCTGCCCTCTGCCAGGATGGCTCGGAGCTCGTCTTCCTCCCTTTCACACATGCCTCTCGCGCCCAGGCTCAGCGTGAGTCCCATGGGCTGCACCCTGCACTCCAACAGGTCTGCCTCCTTGCTGATGCGTGTCCACCAGACTCACCCAGCTGCCCATCTGGTTGGCACTGACCTGGTTCTCTCTGTTTCTTTCTGGTACTGGGGCTTGAACTCAGGGCCTTGCATGCTCACTTTGTGTTTTCACTCAAGCCTGGTGCTCTACCACGTGAGTCACAGCTCCACTTCTGGCTTTTTACTGGTTAGTTGTGGGTAAGAGTCTCATGGACTTTGCTGCCTGGGCTGGCTTTGAACTGTGATCCTCTGATCTCAGCCTCCTGAGATGCTAGGAATAAGGTGTGGGCCACTGGTGCCCGGCTGGCCACTTATTTTGAGGACACCCTTTGGAACCTTTCCTCACAGAGGACAGTGCGGTGTGCATCACCGATGAGAACTCGGAGAACACCATGGCTGCGGGGAGCAGCGGCCAGAGCTCACACAGCGGCCTTGCTCTGTTCCAGGTGTGAATGACTTCTATTTGTCTTGTTCCCCAAGGATGGAGGCTCACCACCTAGGGCAGAGACGCCCACTGGATGCCTTCAAATGGAGCCTTGTTGGGTAGCCCTGCCTCACCCTACCCCAGGCCAGCGGAACATTCTGTGGCTTTCCAGGGCTCACTCCCCTCGTGGCTCCACCGCAGGAGGTAATGGAGTCATGGGCCTTGTGCGTGGCTCAGAGGGCTGGCATGGCCTGTGGCGGCCGTGGCCTGCTGCCCCACCCCCGGCCGCTCGGGAGATGGGTGTGACACAGGGGACGAGCAAGCTCAGCCTGCCAGTGAAGCAGGGCTTCTACTCCGTTGCACACACCTTCCCGTGCCACGTTGGGTGTGTGCTTGTTTTCCTATCTGGCCTCCCAGATTCCTGGGTGGTACAGACTGGCGGGCACCGGCGTCTAGCTATCGCAACAAGCCAGGGCTGGGCTGCATCATTCCTATTTTGCGGCTGGAGAGACGAGCTAAGCGGGCTCCACCATGCCAGGAGCGGTGACCCCGTAGCGGAGGTCTGTAGCGGAGGCTCAGCTGTCCGTCAGAGGCCTGTGTGCGGCTCATGTCCAGCTGTCCTGACCACTCGGCCCCAGGAGCCACAGGGCTGGAAACCTTGTTTTTGTTTTTCTGTCATACTAGGGTTTGAGCTCGAGGTCTTGTGCTACCAGGAGACACTTCAAGCCTGAGCCATGTCTCCAGCCCAATTTTTGTTTTAGTTATCTTTCAGGCAGGGTCTTCTTTTCCTTGTCTTGGCTGGTTTGGACTGTATTCTTCCTATTTTATTGTAGCTGGGACCACAGCTGTGTACCACGGTGCCCAGCCATGGGTTCAGAAGGGGGTCTCACTAGAAGTTTTGCTCCCCACTTCTGCCTCCCCCATAGCTGTCCCACCTCGCCCAGCCTAGCAACCCTGGCGAGCCGTCCCCTCCACACTCACCTCAGAGTGTCCAGGACTGAAAGCTGTGCCCTTGGCAATGCTGTTACTGGGACCGGATGCTGAGCTGAGCTTGGGTCCAGCATGCCATCCGGCCGCTGGGTCTGCGCCACCACAGGCTGGAACACTGTGGAGAAGGAGGGCGGGCATTAGACTCGGCTCCTCCACCTTGGGGCCCAGGGGGAGGGGCGGGAGGGGGAGGCCCACGGGATGCATCCGGGACATGAGCAGCATCCGGCCCAGTGGGAGCTGGAGTGCAGTTACTGGGGTGGCTAGGGCCTGGTCTTGCATGGAGCCGTCCGTGCTGCAGAGCAGAGGTCTGCTCAGCACACCTCCCATCCAGAGTGAGGAACTGAACCGCGGCGCTTCCCACCTCCGGCATCAGAGAAGAAAATGACCCTGGAGGTCAAAGTGTAGGTGAACCCTGGAGGCAATTGACCAGAGACCAGCGACCAGCCCTTCAGAACCAACCAGACATCTGCAACCCGGGTTGCTCAAAGCCAGACTTTAAGAACTAGAAGCCATGGAGACTACACAGTGAGAAACATTCTATTTGATTTTAACCTTCCCTTTCTAGAAGCTTCCATGCTCTCTTACTTCTGTAAACCTGGCATATGAAAGTTCTTTACTCATTCATCCAACAGAATTTCCTGAGCACCTACTACGTGCCAGAGAAATTCTTGGTGTCAGTGACCCAGCAGCAAATAAGACAGACAAGGTGTCTGTTCTCAGTGAGCCTTGTAGTTTTGTGTACAGATCTTTAGATTCCAGCTGTGATGGACGGAAGGGAGCAGGGTGTGACAGGCAGTACAGGTGTCCCCGAAGACTCCAGGTTGATACCTGAAGGATGGGGAGGAAGACGGGAACAGTGCAGGTAGACCTTTGGGAAGAAGCCTGTGCAACAGCTGTCTACAGCCTCCACCTCCCGGCCTTCTCTTTGAGTCAATGGTCATTTGGTTAGTTCTGGCTGGTAGCCAGGAAGTTTAGATGGATGGCCATTTAATTATTAAACACCCAACTGAGAAGCCGTTGAAAGGATCTGTCTGTGCTTCTGCTGGCTGTCTGTGACGAGCGCTGGACAGCAGTGATGGACGACTTTGCCAGCCAGCAGCCCCCAAACCAAGCCTTGCAGGCCCCTGCAGTGTGGAGAGCTCGGCCTCTTGGACCCGATTTTTACTGTGTGTGTGGTTCTGTGAATGGAGCTCAGGCCTCAGGCTTGAGAGACCCACAGCCCGGACCACCCGAGCTGCATCTACAGGCCTCTTGCTTTGTGTTTACTTTTCAGACAGGGTCTTGTGTGTTCGCTGGCTTTGGCCTGTGACGCTCCTACTTTTGCCTCCTGAGCAGCTGAGATTAAAGGTGTGCCCCACCATGCCTAGCCTCCTGTCTCCTCCATCCCTAACCCACCCACTCCCATCGCACGGGGCCCAACTCCCAAGAGGCCGGCTCACAGTGTGGAGCCCATGTAATACCCCCTAGATTTCTGTGAAAAACCAGGGCCGAGGGCAGCAGTCCTTGGGATACACAGGAAGTAAGAGAAATGTTCAAGAAATTAATACACTTTGGAAAATATAAAATACACAAGCATCAGGATTCATGAGAATAGTTTGCAGATTCTGTCCTCCCTGCAGCCTTCCCCTGTCTAGCTACAATCAACATCTGTGAACTGGAAACTTGGCTTCGTATTCTTTGCATAGCACTTAAATGTACTTTGATATTGGAGCTATGGTTGGCTTACTTTTAACAAGGCTATTTGCTAACATAGTGAGTTCCAAAGATTTGGAGATGCACGACGTCAAAGACGTTCTGGACTGCACACCGCAAGAGCAGCAGCACAGCCGTGGCTCAGAGATGCCAGGGCTGCTATGGCTTCCTTTCTCCTCATTTCCACCTGCTGGGGAAACTCAGCCACTAAGAACGCACTGCCAGAAGCTGTGGCTCATGCCTGTAATCCCAGCTACGTGGAAGGCTGAGAACTGAGGATCCTGGTTCAAAGCCAGCCTTGACAAGGTAGATAAATCTAGGAGACTCTTATCTCCCATTAACCAGCAAAATACTAGAAACAGAGGTATGGCTCAAATAGTAGACTGTCAATCTTGAGTAAAAATGTTCAAGACCCAGCACTGCCACCAAAAATACCACCACTACTACCACCAACAAAAAGCCCAACAGGTTGCTGAGGGGGTGGTGAATTCTGGTGCTGTGGCTGTGATGTTCTTGTCTGCAGCTGTCCTCCCTGATTCTGTGCCACTGCTTCTCACTGGGAGTCTACAATACAGAGGGAAAGAGGCCATGAAGTCCTTCATGTTGCAAATCTGTTTTTCTAAGTTTTAGCTTCATCAGAAGCTTTATTAAGTATGACCCCAAGGTTTGGTCATACTCCCTCTTCTTTTTTGGAAAATAAAATTCAGTTTGGGCCACTTGGAGATGACTTGATGCGTTTTAGCTGTTTTGTGGTTTGGCATATCTGATAGGAAAACAGTGCCACGTGACCCCAGCGCTTAGAAGGATACTGGCGTTCAGAGAAGCCTGTTCTGCCTCGAGGGATGCTTCAGCACTGCTTCTAAAGTCTTGTCAAGTTTCTTAAAGCAAGTGGCATGGTAGCTCTCCAGGAGACGCTGGGGTGAATTACAAAACCCTTCTCAGGAACCTGGTGCCAGCAGCTACTCCAGAGGCTGAGATTTGAGGTTCGTGGTTTAAAACCAGTCCAAGCAGAAAAGTCCATGAGACTCTTACCCACCAAAAAGCTGGAAGTGGAGCTGAGGCTCAAATGGTAGAGTGCTCATCTTGAGGGAAAAAGCTAAG